GAATGTGGATTTATAGATGAAGACGTCTGTCACCTTCTCATAGACTGTCCACACCATGACACGCCGAGATGCCGTCTTAAGTCGGAACTGTTGGCGTTAGACCGCAGACCGTTTAGCATGAAGAAATTTCTGGGCCCGTGGACAACTGGAGCTTTGGATTCACACGTTTTAAACGAATTAACACGCTTTTTGCAAGTCAGCGGAATTGCTCAGAAGTACTGACAAATAGCGAACTTTCATATGTATAACACATGCACTCATTATGCGCAGTATCATGTGACACCCATCGTATGTGTGTTCTGAAGTAAATGACGTGTCGACTATTATGTACAGACGAGCGAATACAGATTCATAAGGACCAGACGTGTGCTCTACTTTTTTTGTGCTTGTTGGACCAAATATTAACGAGGGACATTATCAGAGACTTCATTCGTTGAATTTCGAACATTTCCTTATCGTTTTGTTGTAATATGTGCGTATAAGTGTGTCTTTGCATATCTGTGCGCCCGAGTGTTCTATTTTCCATGCGCTGCTCTGTATGTTTCTTTTTAAGATACGTGTTCAAGTTTCACTCAAGGGCTAATGAGTAGCCGGCGCCATAATTGTGCACCAAGATCTCCCTATATATAATATTAACAAAAAAGATATCTAAGTGTCGAACACAGCGTCGGGCCCCGTACCAACCAGCCGTTCGCGGGTGGGATTCTTCCTTGGGGCCACTCCTGCTGACGGCCCTCGCGTTACACATTCAGGAAACTTGCGTCTTCGGGCCGAGACGAAAGCAGCTGCTTCCTTCACCTGCTACTCGTGCGTCCGTGCCTTCGAAACAGCTGGCCGCGCAGGGGGTCGCCTTTCTACCACCGGCATAGCCCTTCCGTAGCCTCCTTCGAAGAGAAGAGACGGAAAGATAATTGGATTCGACCCGTCAATGGCTTCCGGTATAGACTCGCATAAACATGCGCCTAGCCAAATTAACTCGTCCGGTAGTAGTCTGAGTGTGTTGATAGGGAGAAAGACATGGAGAGATTACGTTGTAGTAAGAGGCGGTAGTGACCTCATGCATGCCCGTTTTGCGTGCTTTTTTTTTTCCTTCCTTCTTGCCCATCCCCACGCTGTTTCCATCGGATCGACATGTAACAGATGGCCGTTCGAGAAACACTCCAGCACCGTTTTGTTTTGTCCTACACTTTCGACGTTCGGGTGAAGGGAATGAGGGCGAATAGATAGATAGATAGATAGCTAGATAGATAGATAGATAGATAGATAGATAGATAGATAGATAGATAGATAGATTAGATAGATAGATAGTAGATAGATAGATAGATAGATAGATAGATAGATAGATAGTAGATAGATAGATAGATAGTAGATAGATAGATAGAGAGATAGATAGATAGATAGATAGATAGATAGATAGATAGATAGATAGATAGATAGATAGATAGATAGATAGATAGATAGATAGATAGATAGATAGATAGATAGATAGATAGATAGATAGATAGATAGATAGATAGATAGATAGATAGATAGATAGATAGATAGATAGATAGATAGATCCTGTAAACACACGCACTCAAATAAAATTATGTCCCTTTTATACTCAAAGCAAATCTTAGACAAGGTCCTCAAATAAACCGCGCGCGTATTATCTTTTTTTTTTCTCGAAGAAAGGTGGGGAGACATCTGTGGCTTCAGCCTTTTGAAAAAAAAAATAATTCGGTCTTCTGGAAGAATTTTTATTCCGCCTACGTTTTTCGGACTTAATTAACAGACTGAGCCTTTTCGACACCGACGTGCCATAAGGGCGAGCGAGAAGCAGGGGAAGACAAGCAGGAAATGACGCTGCAAATACCAGAGAAACGCTCACACAAAGAAACTGATTGATTGATATGTGGGGTTTAACGTCCCAAAACCACCGTATGATTATGAGAGACGCCGTAGTGAAGGGCTTCGAAAGTTTTGACCACCTGGGGTTCTTTAACGTGCACCCAAATCTGAGCACACGGGCCTACAACATTTCCGCCTCCATCGGAAACAAAGAAACTGCAGCCAGACTTGTCGATGCTCAAAGGCCGCCGCAAAGCTGGCTGGTTACGACTTTCGTTCCACTGCTGCGGCCACGAGATTGATAGTTTCGATTCCCGACCACATTTTCAGCGTTGTGAAGAACCTAATAATGAATGTCGCAACATCTGCATGAATAGAATGCGCGTTCGGTGAAAGCGATTCATTGCTGCATGTGGGAAATGAAGCGTGTACAATAGAGAGAACGTGTAATGAAGAGGTGGGCTCATTGTACTAGATAAGCACTCATGATGAACAGCTATATGTTTCTAATAGGGAATGGCGAGCTAGTTCACGAAGTGTGGGCGGAACAAAAATCGTGCGCGTGTGGACGCTTTCTTGCAGTGTGGACGCTGGCTTGCGAACTGTACATTATGGTGTCATTTCAAATTGTGCCACAGTGCTATATGTGAAATTTCTAGATGTTTATTTATTCTTTAGGTAAAGACTTTTATTGCAGCAGAAATACCAAAAATGAAGAAGCCAAGGTAATGTAAGCCTTAACGTCTCCACAGTAAAGATGTTAATGAAACAAAATAATGCATAAAAGGCGGGGACGAGAACCATAGGTATAGCTTCGTTATACAGTAGATGGTGCAAGTTTAACAATAATTGTCACCGAGTTCAGACATGCAGCCAAATTTACATTGATTGAAACCAAGTTCTATACCGCACCTGTTGTGCTCAACGAAACTGAAATGTACTTTCGCGCGAAATGTAAACGTTGCGTATATACACTCCACCGCGTCTGTTCGACCATTGTTCTGGTTGTGCTCCAACCAAAGGGGCTTAAGATCTCAGCAGTGAGGGGGCCTGGAGTCAGCGCGTATCCGGCGAAATCCTGCAAGATGGACTCCGGCCCGTCCGGAGAGCTTACGACATCGAAGAAACCTTTCGTTTGCATGCTGGTGCCTACGTGGGCGCTCTGCCCTCTGACCCTACTTTTCCTGGACTGAAATGAAGTTCTTCCCTTGTCATGCAACACGGAGTTGGGCATCCCAAAACCGCGCTATGATTACCAGGGGTGCCGTAGTAGAGGTGTGTGGTAAGTTTGAGCACCTGGGGGTTTTGTAACGTGCATCTAAATATAAGTACACTGGCCCCAAGCAGTTCACACCTGTTTAACTACGACTGCGGCGGCCGAAAGCCGATCTGGGAGCCTTTTGATCAGCAGTCAGAAATCACCACTGCTAGACCACCGCGGGGGACTAGGGTGCGAAAGTTGGCTGGGGCTAATCAGCAAGGAGGATTAAAAAAATTGCTGGAGTGGAAATGATTGCCCAGGAGTGAAGCCGTTCCTCTGGCAAGATGGCGGCTGTAACGGCCAGCTTACTAGGGGCATGATAAAGTATCAACGTTCAGTGATTGAAAACGAAGCGTTTCCCTCGCACGCCCAACGAGTTCGATGTGGGAACTTTTTCGGGTCACATAGTGCTCCAAGTGCGTCTTAATATTACTAGTTTTCCTTAGTGAGCCTCTAATTGAAGGCAAAGTTCTTTGAAGATTCAGTCATTCATACTCGTTTCTGAGTGGTATTTCGTCGGGAACAACCGTCTTTTAATATAGAACAAGCGTAACATTTACATAACATATCAAAGCCACTTGATATTTAAGACGGCGTTATCAGAAAACACCATGTTTCCGCCATCTTGGAAGTGGCAAAAGGTGGCTTCACTTCTGCTGGCAAGGCGTTGCGGGAGCTCCCAATCCAGCAATTTTTCTTTAATCCTCCTTGCTAATCAGTGGTAGTCATACGAAAACAAAACTTTGGGGGCCCTTCTCTTGTGTGAAAAATGAGGAAAGCAAAGTATTTATTTATTCATTTTACTTTTTTATTTTATTTTTTATTTGTTTTATTATTTTACTATTTTTTGTATTTCTGTCACATTTCACAACGTTCCCTTTTAACGTTTTGCTTTCTTCATACCGGGACTCGGACTTGCATCCACGTGCGTAGATGCACACCCCTCAATTCGCTGCTAGCATCAACGACGTAAATGCGTTCTAATTCACGCAACTGCGAAATGTGAAAACGCGACAAATGAGTTGGATAAAAAATGTTATCTTCACTCAAGAAGCGGTTTACAGCCAACAAGCCCACGATCGAGGGATCTCACTTATTGGGATAAGAAACCATGCAATTACACATGTAGCCAGCCCACCATGGAAGGCCGCACTTCTCTAAAGGCGCCGGCGTCGACTTCGACCAGTACGACGTAAAATGTAAAATTTCTAACAGTAAAGTCATTACTTCCTGCATTGCTGTGAGTATTAAATAGGGACGACTTTATGCTCTCTCATAGTAGAGTACCAAGTACTCAAAATCGTTAACCACTTTTCTAAACGCAGGAACACTGGCTTCACACCACTGTATGTCGGGATAGCTTCCCACTCTCCCATGGTCGAGTACGTGGTTCTCTAAATCGTCGAACATTTGTTCTGAACCCAAGCTTCACTCTAGTGGATCTGAAGGATTCTCCCGCAGTAGAGTATACTAAGTGCACTGAATCGTTAAACACCTTTTCTAGACACACGATGTAATAACTTATTTTCTAAAGACACAGAAATCAGCCAATCACGTCCGGCATTTCTCGTCGCTCCTAGCCGCCCACCGGGATTGCTTGTCGGAAGCAGCAAGTGCTCCACTGATGATGTTTTGCTGGATTGGGGTCCGGGTTGCGGAGCATGCCTCCTGTGGATGTCCATGCCACGTGGGTCCAGTCTGCTGCCTCATCACAAAAATGTCTGCTTTATATTGCTTGTGACAGCTTTTGTAAGTCTATAGGCTGTGTCAGAGGCATAGGCAGAATTTTTTTTTTTTTTCGGATGGGGCACCTCCTCAATATCTGAGGCAGAGGGGGATGGGGGGGGAGGCACCATATTGAAATGGTCATTTCTGCGCTCTGTGCGCCGTGGCGAAATAAAAATTTCAGGAGGTAAAACAGGCTCGGTGTGCCAGCCACTGCCTACTCCGAGCTCGGTGTGCCACCCACTGCCTACTCCGAGCTCGGTGTGCCACCCACTGCCCCACTCCGAGCTCGGTGTGCCACCCACTGCCTACTCCGAGCTCGGTGGTGCCACCCACTGCCTACTCCGAGCTCGGTGTGCCACCCACTGCCTACTCCGAGCCCGGTGTGCCACCCACTGCCTACCTCCGAGCTCGGTGTGCCACCCACTGCCTACTTCCGAGCTCGGTGTGCCACCCACTGCCCACTCCGAGCTCGGTGTGCCACCCACTGCCTACTCCGAGCTCGGTGTGCCACCCACTGCCTACTCCGAGCTCGGTGTGCCACCCACTGCCTACTCCGAGCTCGGTTGTGCCACCCACTGCCTACTCCGAGCTCGGTGTGCCACCCACTGCCCACTCCGAGCTCGGTGTGCCACCCACTGCCTACTCCGAGCTCGGTGTGCCACCCACTGCCCCTACTCCGAGCTCGGTGTGCCACCCCACTGCCTACTCCGAGCTCGGTGTGCCACCCACTGCCTACTCCGAGCTCGGTGTGCACCCACTGCCACTCCGAGCTCGGTGTGCCACCCACTGCCTACTCCGAGCTCGGTGTGCCACCCACTGCCTACTCCGAGCTCGGTGTGCCACCCACTGCCTACTCCGAGCTCGGTGTGCCACCCACTGCCTACTCCGAGCTCGGTGTGCCACCCACTGCCTACTCCGAGCTCGGTGTGCCACCCACTGCCCACTTCCACTCCGAGCTCGGTGTGCCACCACTGCCTACTCCGAGCTCGGTGTGCCACCCACTGCCCACTCCGAGCTCGGTGTGCCACCCACTGCCTACTCCGAGCTCGGTGTGCCACCCACTGCCTACTCCGAGCTCGGTGTGCCACCCACTGCCCACTCCGAGCTCGGTGTGCCACCCACTGCCTACTCCGAGCTCGGTGTGCCACCCACTGCCTACTCCGAGCCCGGTGTGCCACCCACTGCCTACTCCGAGCTCGGTGTGCCACCCACTGCCTACTCCGAGCTCGGTGTGCCACCCACTGCCCACTCCGAGCTCGGTGTGCCACCCACTGCCCACTCCGAGCTCGGTGTGCCACCCACTGCCTACTCCGAGCTCGGTGTGCCACCCACTGCCTACTCCGCTGGGTTGTGTGATGTGCCGCCGGCCGCGAATACAGAAGGCTTCAGAGTGTCGATGATGATCTATAGCTCGTCTCTCACTACGACTCCTCTGCGCGAACAATGGGTTGCGCGTGTGTATAGGATGCTGTACGAGATGCGGGCGCGACGCCCCTCACGACAACCTCGTCACGGCACAGTGCATTTCGCGTTCCAGCCCGCCCCATACGTTTCGCTCCAACGATTCCGCCCGCATGGCAGCGTCGAGAAGTCAGTTGCGCTTTCTTTTATGGCGAAGCTTTGTAAGGTTATTGTCGTTTACGAGCTATGAAATAAACGAAAGCTTCACCGGCACCCATCGCTGTGCCACCCTCAGAAGTAATCGGAAGGAACGTATAGACGTTCCACCCAATTACCTTTCAGCCATCCTGACGTCACTTCGCACTTGGCTCGTTTCGGATAGTTGGCGCAGACATGTTCGGTCATGTAAGTCCGTGATTCTGGTTCCAACTCGGAAACTTGAAATGTCCGGGCGATTTCCATCAGATATACTGGCATCGCTACCATTTGTAGCGTAGTCAGGCTGATGATATATATATATATATATATATATATATATATATAATATATATATATATATATATATATATATATATATATATATATATATAAGGGAAAGAAGTGTATACCTAAGGGCTCGTTTTTTCGTGTTTTAACACAATATTAATGAGGTATAACAGACAGTAATGCCAAGGAATGTACAGGGGAAGTTATTAAAACCAATGGAATGTAAATAAGAAGAAAGAAAAGTGGATAAAAAAATCACCAACTGTGAGCAGGAATCGAATCTACGACCTTCGAATTAGCATCGAACGCGTAATTCGAAGGTCGTAGGTTCGATTCCTGCTCACAGTTGGTGATTTTTTCATCCACTTTTCTTTCGTCTTATTTACATTCCATTGGTATTAATAACTTCCCCTGTACATTCCTTGGCATTACTGTCTGTTATACCTCATATATATATATATATATATATATATATATATATATATATATATATATATATATATATATATATATATATATATATATATATATATATGACATCTAACAGACAATAATGACAATAGGTATAGGGGAAATCATTAGGTCAATTGTAATGTAAATAAGAAGAAAGAAAAGTGGGTGAAAAGATAACTTGCCGTGGGCAGGATCCGAACCTGCGACCTTCGAATAACGCGTTCGATGCTCTACCGCTGAGCTACCACGACAGCTATCCCCCCAGTCACTTTATTGGGTATCTATGTCAATTTAAACGTGGGAGTGTCAGTCAGTGCCACTAGTAGCCATGGCGGCGAGTGTAACACACTCTTTATGAGCCTGTTTGGCGTCACGTAGCACGTGAACTTATTACTAACTGGCAGCTGAAAATAGTGCTCCGTATACAACCTAAAGGTACCAAGTCTGCCAGTACGAGACCCTCGTTAATTGATAAGGGAAACAAGTGTATACTTAAGGGCTCGTTTTTCGTGTTTTTACACAATAATAATCAGATCTAACAGACAATAATGCCAAGGAAGGTATATGCGCGCGTGTGTGTGTGTGTTTGTGTCTTCAGAACTCGTGTCGTGCGAAGGTCGTACAAATATATAGTGGTACACACACAGAGCCAGCCGACTGGCGCTCGAGATCGTAACTTTGGTCGGACCCGGAAGAGACGCGCCCCGTAACTTTTTTTTTTACGACCGGGGGAAAAAATACACGGGAAGCCGCTTACGGGCTCGCCAGCACGTGTGATACGCTTGCGCGTGGTGGCGTGCCTGCCGCAGGAACATATATACTGCGATGTTTATCGAAGCCCTGCTTGCGAGGGGGGAACGGATAGCCGACGGCTTCGTGCGCTGCAGAAGACGTGGCGCACGACAAAGCACGCGGAATGAGGCCGTAGACTGAGTGCTAACTTTCAACTCGGGTTTTCATTGTAGGTGCTCCGCAGGTATGAACACTCGTGAATCTGCAAAAGGGAAGAAACTTTTTTAAACCGCGAAGATTTTCATCCTTCCTCTAAACAAAACTGTCAGATTAAACACTTCGCCCAACTGATACATTATCCTCAATGATACATCTATCAGAATTTATGCCCATTCTTTCCTTTTTTATTATTGTTTTTCATGTTCATGCCACTTCGTGACCATACATTCGAACTACTCTCTTTTTATCTTAGCACTGTTTTCATAAACTTTTTGTATTTCTTTTTTGTGATGTTATTCCAATATGTTTGTTTCATATTTGTTGTGCAGGATTGACTGCCATTCCTGCTGCTTTGTCAACTTGTGAACGGGGTCAGGACCTCGTCAAGCTCTTGGGCTTTTAGTCCTCTTCTCCACCTTATCTAAAGGAAATAAAATTATTGATTGATTAAAAAAGAAAACCACGATATATTTTCTATAGTGCGACGAACTATACAGGCATGCCTTAAGCCAAGGAGGTTTTAAGGAAAAAATTGCTGGAGTGGAAATTCTCGCCCACGAGTGAAGCCGTGCCAATCGTAAGATGGCGGCTGTGGCCGCCATCTTACTAGGGGCATGATGAGCTGTTGGCGTTCGGAGCTTCTTTTTTGTAAGCCTCGAAATAAGGGTAAAGTTCAATGAAGATTAAGTCACCGATACTATAGTCTCTGCGGAATATTTTATTGGAAACAACCATCTTTTAATTTATAAGTAACGTAGCCTTTAGACTAACAAATCAAATCCACTTGATGTCTAAGTGGGTACCATAAAAAGTAGCATGTTTCTGAGATCTTTACTCCAGCAATTTTTTTTAACCTTCCTACTCAATATTTTCGCTCTTCTGAGGGTCGAACGTAGCATTGAACCCACTGCTAAGCACCGGTGCCGCAGGCTTCAACTTTCGCTGGTTAAGCATATGTACGGAGTACGTTACTGCGACGTTCTAAGAAGACCAGTGCCCCTCCGTCAACTTCTTTAAAGGACCACTCACCAGGTTAAGTGGGTAATAACACTTCATGTCCATGATGTTCAGAAGACTGAACGTCTGAGCTTCTACTGTGAGGCCCACGGGACGGCTTGAGGCTCTCCCATAGTCAAGTACTAAGTACTCGAAATCGTTATCCACTTTTTCTAAACACACGTTACTGCGACGTTCTAAGAACATCAAGGGACGGCTCACTGCTCTCCCATAGTTGAGTACGAAGTACTCGAAATCGTTAGTCACTATCTCTATACACACATTACTTGGGCGGTGATTTTTAGGGGCGGAGCCCCTTAAGTTGTTGGTCAAGCGTCCGCGATATATGTAGTAGTAGTAGTAGTAATAGTAGTAGTAGTAGTAGGTAGCCACCTCTCGTTTAGTCCTTGGAATGTCCGCTGGATGACGGTACTTCTATATGATGAATATATGATAAAAAGATGCGAGATGGTGGTACTCGGAGTGTTCACTAGATGGGCGGACGTATGGACGGACGGATGGTCGGAAGGACGCACGGAAGGATGCATGGACAGCAGACGGACGCACGTATGAACACAAGGACAGACGGACGCACGAACGGACACATAGATGGACGGACGGACAGACGCACGGAAGCACGCAATGACGGACGGACGGACGCATGGACACACGAATGGACAAACGAACGGACGCACGGACGGACGGACGTACGGCAGACGCACAGACGGACGGATGGACGAAGCGTGGACGGAAGCACGGACGTACTGATGGACGCTTCGCCTTACTCATCATCATGCACTCCATAAATATGCTGAGATTTTTCTATCTCTTTCTTCCATTCTGTCACCCTCGCTCTTTATTTCTCTATATGTATGAACTCGTTTTCTTACTCATCAGGGTTATCGCATCCCACGCACGACAAATCAGCGCACCTGTTCGGGCAGCGGAGCAGGCGATGAAGAAGAGGAAAATGTTGGGGCATGTCGGTTTGTAATGATGAATATGATTATAGATTTCCGTTCACGGATTACGACGGACAGCTTACATGAACAGCTCCTCGATGATTAAAGCTATTCAGGTCAATGTGCAGCGGTATAAAGAACTCGCAGCGTCACGTGACAATGCCGTTACACGTGATTCGATTTGACCGACCTGCTACGACACGCTCGTACGCGTTTACAAAATGCGAGGAGAACGAGAATGTACAGGTAGAGTTGTCAATGAACTGACAGGCACGCGTTATTAGCGAGTACGAGAAACGACGGCCTCATGGGACAAAGCGTGCGGCCATTTCATGCTTACGAATGAATTAATAAATTAGGTGCTAGTAAGGCTGCTGACGGAAGTAAACGATCCAAGGAAAGGAAGGTCCTTTAAGCTCGTCAGTCATCATCACTATATAATTTTTTAGTCTGATAACTGAAAGGTCAATTGAGCAATCGGATTCTTGGCCTATCCTCTACGTGCCACCTAGAGATTAATAATAATAATAATAATAATAATAATAATAATAATAATAATAATAATGTAGTGAAGAAGAAAGACGTTGATACCATCAGGTGAGCTATCATCAGCACAAGAAGAAGGCACGAGATCGGCGATCAAGCACCGTCATCTGGGTTCGCCTGCGTTCCTTTCAGAGCTACCACCCGCTTGCTCAGTCCTTCAATAAACCCCCTTTACAATAATAATAATAATAATAATAATAATAATAATAATAATAATAATTGGCAGATCCCACGTACAGTGGCAATTGAGCATATGCGAAGCGTGAATGAGGAAGGTTGATAAGTCACTTCGAAATCAGCACTACGTTACGAGACGGAGGTAAGTTATGCAGTACATGAATTCCATGTCATGATTATCATGTTTGGGCGTTTCATTTGCCTTCGTCATCTATTAACGTCAACTGATACCGACATTGGTGTTGGTGTACGTGAAACTAGCGAAACGGCCACGAGCATGCTATGCGCGTGGCATGTAACCATGTTTTACATGACATCTTTATCATGATTATCATGTTTGGACATTCCATTTACATTCGTCGTCCATTCACGTCACGTCATGTCAAATTTAGTATATGTGAAAGTAGTGAAACAGCTGCTCGACTACATGTTACGCTATGAGCGTAACATGTAGTCATATTTCACACGAAAACATATGATTATCAGGTTTGGACGTGTCATTTACCTTCGTCGTCTGTTCATTTCCGGTAATACCAAATTTGGTACACGTAAAGCTAGCGAAACGGCGGAGAGCGCGTCATGAAGGACCCAATTTACTCCGACGCAACGTTGACGAATGCGCAGGCTGGGCGCAGTAACGCCACGCTAGCGAAACGCGAGCACTCAATAGTCTGACGCAAGGCGCGACCAGCGTCCGTCGGCGCGACCCAGTGGCAACCGGGGCGAAACGAGACATGCTGCGTTTCGCACCGACGACGTGTTACTTCGACAGCACCGCGTCTGCCTCTCTTTGTGACACTGTGTGCGCTCAAACGCGCATGCGTCAAAGCAACGCAGCGCGGGCCGGCGAGCACATGGCAGGCAGATCTGCAATAGAGGTCAGTGGGCAGATCCACTGCATGATCTCAATTAGGGGGATATCGGCGCCTAGCGTGGCATGGCCGGCGTGACGCGATGAGATGAACGCCGGCGAGCGCGCGCACTGGGCCACGTCGAAGTGTATTGGCGCCTTGAGTGTGGCGTGTGTAATGTTCTTACATGACACGCATATCATGATTATCATGTTTGCACCAGTCACATACCTTCGTCATCCATTCACGTGACGTAATACCAAATTTTGGCATATGTTAAGGTAGCGAAATGGCCGCAAGCACATGATTAGTGTGGGACGTATAGTCATGTTGTTACATGACACGCATGTCATGATCACCATGTTCGGACGAGTCATTCACCTATGTCGTTCGTTCGCGCCACGTAATACTTAATTAGGTACATGTGAAGCTAGCGGAACGGCCGCAAGCGCATCTTGAGCGTAGCATGTACTCATCTTTTTACATGACACGCATCTCGTGATTATCGTGTTTGCACTAGTCACATACCTTCGTCATCCATTCACGTCCCATAATACCAAATTTGGTATACGCGATGGGTGCGAAATGGCCGCGAGCACACCATGAGTGTGGCATGTAGTCATGTTGTCACATGACACGCATATCATGGTTTTCATGTTAGAGTTTGTCACATGCGTTCGCCATGCAGTCATGTCATACCATACCAGTTTCGCAACATGCATGTGAAAGAAACTACCACAGGAGCAGCAAGATGATTTGTAAATCATGACATCGATGACATAAATGTCATGATTTTATGTTATGACTAGCCAATTATGTTCGTCATACAGTCATGTTATGTCATACCAAGTTTGATATTGATACCATTATTCAAGCAGCCAGGACAGCTAAAAGTCGTAACCGGACAGACAGACAGACAGACAGACAGACAGACAGACAGACAGACAGACAGACAGACAGATAGATAGATAGATAGATAGATAGATAGATAGATAGATAGATAGATAGATAGATAGATAGATAGATAGATAGATAGATAGATAGATAGATAGATAGATAGATAGATAGATAGATAGATAGATAGATAGATAGATAGATAGATAGATAGATAGATAGATAGATAGATAGATAGATAGATAGATAGATAGATAGACAGATAGATAGATAGATAGATAGATAGATAGATAGATAGATAGATAGATAGATAGATAGATAGATAGATAGATAGATAGATAGATAGATAGATAGATAGATACGCTCAAGGTCACCGAAGTTCGCCAAGAAATGCTTCGCATTTAATAATAATAATAATATAGGAAGAGGAGAAATAATAGGAGAACCTTGAATCGGAATGTCACGCGGTTGAAGTTAGACTGCATAACATGCGAACAATCTATGGCAAGTCTTAATTACTTGAATAATACCTATTTATTAATATTTATAATATAAATATATATATCATTAGTCATAAGATTTATGAATAAATAAATAATAAATAAATAGACGTTTTGCGATACTCATGTTTAAAAAAGGGGGGGTAATGTAACCCTGAGCGCGCACGAATGGTGCGTGCTTATGTGGAAAAAAAGAAGAGAGGCAGAAAAAAAGCGTAATCAATCATTTTCTTTAAAACGCAGTTCTTTTTACCAGCGGTCAACGCTTGCAAGCCGGTAATGATGTGAACACGCCGCCGTAATTTCCCTCGAAGACAAACTATACGATCAAATGGAAATCGATAATTTCAGAAAATATATTGCTTTGTCATTCACATCGACGTTCGGGAACTCAGTATCCGGTTATGGT